TGAGGAGAGGACTAGAATTCATGGCAAGAAAACACTCACTCACTCGGTCTCATACTGCAAAAGCAAGAACTGCTTAGTATATGAATTGTCCAGTAGAGTTTGTAGATTTATCTTGGTTTCTATTTATTACTTAATAACAATTTGCATAGTTAAGTTGTCTTTATAGACAACCTGCATTCATTTAAACTAAACACATAATATTTATGGAATCCAAAATTTTAATCCATAATTATTTACTGAATAAGGAATCTAGACAAAGGAAAGTAATTAACAATAATGACTTAAAATAATATCTGCAGCATAGTAAAGACTCAATATATAGTTAATATTCATGTATATTAGAAAGGAGGTTCATGACTCTCCTAAACTTGAAAATTTTATGCATTTTGCTGGAGGGAAATCTATATCTTTTATTAAGTTGTGAAAGTATTGATGATCTATAAGAAATGCTAACAGCCATAAATTCTATATCAAATCCTGCCAAAGGAAATAAAATTTCACTTGGCTTGAAATTTTGTCAAGGCTTAGGTGTTATGCTATGTTATAGTCTATTTTGATTAAATATAACCTCTTAGTTTCTGAGTCATTTTTTATAACCCTTTTGTCTCTCTAATGAATGTCTTTCCTACATGTTTTCTTAGCCCTTTCGCAAATCCTATAGTTTACTTCCCTGTATAGTTCATCTTCTTTTAGAGATGATATCCTTAGTGTTCTGGCTGTTTACCTAAATAGACACTATTTCCTCTGGTGCATAGGGTATCACAAGAGTAACAGCAAACAGTAGTCTGCTAAGAAACAAATCATGACTGTTCATCTAGAAGCCCCATCTTGCTCTTGTATAGTTTATCTATAATGACTGGGGGATGGGGAATAACTTCACCTGGGGGAATCTGTCTCTTTTTATATTTGTCTATCTGTTAGAACACCCTTCAAAAGTTCCTTGATTTACAACTTCTTTGAAGATATGTCACAATTCTGTGTCTAGAAAGACCTACATCAGGAACAGTCAAATTGTCTTCATTGTGTTCATTCTACAATATTAATGAGGGATCTTCCACATTATAGGCACTGGTCTTATGAAGAATAGGACTTGAGAGTATAACAGGAGTGAGTCTCATGAATTTAAGATAACAATGAATATACTTTTTTTTCCTTTTACCATGCTAGGGATCAAACCCAGGGACTCACACATGCTAGGCAAGTGCTGTACCACTGAACTGAACCTTGTGGCCTGGAGTATACTTTAATAGAGGATTACAGACTCTGGCAGGGAACCACAGAAAGGCAGGAGATCAGGCAAGGGGTTGTAGAAGGGATGACTCTTGAGGGATAAGTAGGAACTGCATGAGCAAACCCAGTAAGGAAAAAGTCTTTCATTTCAGAGGCAGTAGTATGCAAAGGCATCCAGATGTAAGAAGACTTACTAAAATAAAAAAAATTGAGAGGTAAGGAGGGAAAAATGAGTACAACTGTAGATACATATGGAGGTGGTGTGGTAGCTTTCCATTATTATAACAATTATCTGAGATAATAAATTTTAAAAGAGAAAAGAGTTTTTTGTCTCACAGTTTTAGAAGTTATAGTCCATAATCAGACAGACCCATCATTGCTTTTTGGCCTCTAGTAGGGGTGCCAAATGGCAATGACAGGGAGCACATGGTGGAGCAAAACCACCATCTTTATGGCTGGGAAGCAAAAGAGAGAAAAAGGAAAGAACTGGGATCTAAAAATCTTCTTCAAGGGCATGCCCCGAATGACCTAAAGACCTCCATTCAGCCCCACTTCTTAAAGGTTTCACTGCCTCCCAATAGTGATACTCTGGGAACCAAGAGTACTCCTCCTTTGGGGGACATTTAACATCTAAACTGTAGCAGTGGAGGATACAAGGAAGAGGAAGGTAAAGGAGCTTCTCCTTGAGGACCATTATTTTCTTCATGAAGGAGTAGGCAGTGTCATTCAAAGTGAGGGAACAAGAATGGGGCCTAAGGAGAGGACTTGAAGGTTTGTGGAAGAAGTGAAGCCACCCATGTCATGTAGGAGATTAATTTAATAATACTGAGAGAGCATCTGGCTGGACATGGTGGTTCAGGCCTATAATCCCAGTTTTCAATAGGGTGAGGTAGGAAAATGGAGGCCACCCTAGGTTACATAGTAACACCCTGGTCAGAGAGATGCAGAGAGAGATTAGATAGTAGGTACATAGGTAGTATGTATTTTTGCTTTTGTGAGAAGCAAAAATATAGTTAATAATATATGTTATTATTATATTATTATATAGTTAATAATCTTTCTGTGCATTTAGCTAATCCTAACTATTCCACCTTACCTCCTGTTAATAGAAATTGACATCTGGTCTCAATTTTACTTTTATGTAACTTCTGTGGAAGTGCTAATCTTCCTGCAGTTCGATATTCTCTTTGGAATTTTGTAGATTTCATATCTTAAGTGCAGAAAACATTTTTGAGCACTGACTGTGTAGCTGGTTGCTATAACACTAAGTGCAATGTCCTCTGCTCTTAAGGTGCTTCATTCATAGGAAATAGGAGAGGACTCAGGAGGAATACGAGAAGCGAGTAAATAATAGCACTAAAGGCAGAACGTTAAAAGTGTATTAGAGAAGCACAAATCATTGTTTGCAAGTTAGAGTTCACAGCCCAGTTGAAAATACCATAAGGGCCTCAAGCAATTCATCTCTGTAGAGCTATTCTTGGAATATCATGAAGAACCACCCACAGATAGAGCAATCTGGAAAGTTCAGAGGCACTCCATTGAAAAGAGTGGCATTGATCTGTAAGCACCGTAGAGACAACTCACCTTTATCACTGGTTCATCCAGCTGAAATGGCTTTATTGCTTTACTGTACTGTCCACCTTCTGATTTCTTAACTGTAGTTAGCCTTCACTATCTACCTGCTGCCTTTGTGTGTGTGTGTGTTTGTGGTATTGGAGCTTAAAATCAGGGCCTACACCTTGAGCCATTCCACCAACTCTTTTTTTGTGAAGGATTTTTTTGAGATAGGGTCTTGCAAACTGTTTGCTCAGGCTGGCTTCAAACTGCAATCCTCCCGATCTCTGCCTTCTGAGTAGCTAGGATGACAGGCTTGAGCCACTGGCACCCAGCTCCTGCTGCCTCTTGATAGTGTTTCATTCAAAACTATCTTTTTGTCCCCATGTTTGAATCTTAACCAATCACATACAACCCCAACCAGGGATTTTCTGGTCCTAACCTCTGAACTATTTAATCAAGCAGCAGTTTGTATCAACAGACTCTTTTACTGTAGAACTTCTTATTCCACCAACCTGCAAACTACATATTTAACCTCACATCAGTCAGCTGCATCCTTACTACATCAAGCCACATGGAACAGGCACAATTTGAATTGAAGCTCTTATGCTATATCACAGTTTTTTTCATCAGTTATAGCGTGTTAAGTTTATGCTCAGTTCACTTTATTATTTCTAAGTCTAGGTTTCCTTCTGTACCAATTGTAATGATCATCTTAGGTTTTTATCCTTTACTCTATTAATATGGTACATTTTTGGTTATTCATGTTGAAATAAATAACCCTTGGATTCCTGGGATAAATCCTACATGGTCATACTGTATACTCCTTTTAATATGCTGCTGGATTCAATTTATCAATATTTTGTTGAGGGTTTTTGAAGCTAGGCTTTTCTTTTTGAAGGACTAGCCATTAGGGTTATTAAGAAATGTTCAGTTCTTACCATGTGAGTGATTGTCCCCTCATGAGTTTATGTCTCTCAAGATGAGTATAATAGTATTTGTAACTTCCTTGCCATCATAATTTTTAAATTCTCATGATCAGATGTAGTAAAAGCTTACCTTTTTGTTTTCTCTACTGGGCCTCATGCATGCAAACAGTTTACCATTAAATATCCATATTTAGGGGAATAAACTTTAGGCAATGTGATAAGGACAAAGATATTTCCCAGATAGTTCTCACTGCAGATTCATAACCACAACATTGAAGGATTCCATCATACAGTTAATAAGAAAGAAGTTCTCTGCTCTGTGGACATAACTCAGCGGTAGAGCAATTGCCTAATGTGTGAGGTCCTGGGTTTAATATCTACCACTGGGGATAAAGAAGAAAAAGGAAGGAAAGAAGGAGCTTCTCAATTCGCTTTTGTTTACAAGGCATCATGGAGAAAGTTTGGGTAATCATTATTCATTAGACATTATAGGCCTTTAATATTTCTGATGAATGAGGGAATAAATAAATAAATAAATAAATAAATAAATAAATAAATAAATCTAGTTTTCATATTTTTTTTGTCTTTTCTTTTTTTGGTGCTGGGATCAAAGCCAGGGCCTCATGCATGCTAGGCAAGTGCTATACCACCGAGCTACATCCCAGCCCTAGTTTTCATATTTTGAAAGTAGAAATTTTCTTGACCCCCTAAAGAGTTATCCTGAGCAATGAATAGTTTTATTTGTGCTTTTCCCTAGTAATTTCTTTTCTTTCTTTTTTTTTTGGGGGGGGTAGTACTGGGGTTTGAACTCAAGCCTTGTGCTAGGTCTGGCTTTGAACCACAGTCCTCCTACCTATACCTCCACATAGCTATAATTATAGATGTGCACCACCACACCCAGCTTATTTGTTGACATGGAGTTTCACTTTCCCCCACACCGGCCCTGAGGTGGCCTCAAACCACGATTCTCATCTTCACCTCCCAAGCAGCTGGAAGTACAGGCATGTACCACCATACCTGACCAATAATGATTTCTTTTAAAAAGTAAAACAAAACATGAACTGTTTATCATAGGAGTCTCAGAATCCTAAGCTATATGGTCATGAGGTGTATCGCAGCTCCAGACCTCAACCCACTCCACATTTTATTAATGAGCCACTCTACTCATTTAGGATACACATCTGCTCAATCCCTGGCCATCCTCCATGGAGAAGTTGCCTTGTCATTACAAGTATTGCTATATATAGTTCATATCATGAAATCTGAAAAGGTATTTTATTGATTCAGCTTCCAGGCAGACCCCAAAAAACCCATTGGAGGACACATTCTGGCTCATGCTTCAACTACAAGAGTAAGTTTGCGAAAGGGAAGAGGAGAGCTAAGAATTGCCAAGATTTATGACAGGTAAACATTCTCTTATTCTTCATCAGATTCTTGTACATATGGTTTTAAACAAAATGGCCACTCCTGAGAGGCTATAATTATTCCACTGGCAGATATTATGTCTTTGGATTTCCTTCTCAAAAGTGATGCAGTTGATTGGGAAATCCCTAGTGTGTGCTAGGTACTAAGGAGTCAGGGATTCTATTGACACATCTACTTGGTCTCTGACCTTTCAAAGCAGAAGATGAAACTAGATAATGAAATCACACCAATTCCAATTACAGGGTAGGTAGGTGCAGGGGAAGTGCAAAGTAAGGGAATATTTCCTTCTCCTTTCTCTTTGCCAGGTTAAAGGCATATGCCTTTTGGATTTCAATTTAAATGTTGCTTTCTCAAGCCAGGCATGGTGGCACACACATCCAATTCTGGCACTCAGGAGTCTGAGGCAGGAAGATCACGAGTTTGAGACCAGCTTGAAGCACATAACAAGATCCTTTCTATAAATAAATTTAGTTAATTAATTAAACACCACTTTCTCAAGGAACCTTTATCTAACCCTTATAGTCCAGGCTATACTCAATATGCCATTGACACACTTTTCTCTCACAGTACTTTACTTAAGAATTAAAAATAATAATAAATTTTTATAGGGAAACTACCACATGTCAGCAGTTCTGGTTTTTTAGAATAAAACAGTGAACAAAATGTGGAGCTTACACTCATTCATCTGTAATGATTTGTGCAGCATATGTCATCCCTGTAGATAAGTAGTCCTGAGGGTAGAGACACTGGCTCACCACTATATCCTGAGACTTAATAGATATGCAATGTTTATGTTTACCAACCCCACGCAGTAAGGCAAAGACTTGTAGTAACTCTTTCCCCTATGGAGGGAAAAGCAATGCAGAAGAAACCAGATGAGCTCTTAGTCTGGGTTTTGCTATGAACCACAATACTTAAAATGTATTGACACTGAATATTGAATTGTCAGTTCCCCATCTATCTAAGATGCTTTTCACCACCTATACCTATAGAAGGCCATAACATGTAAATGCTCAAATCTCACTGGATGCAGTGATCCATGACTATAATCCCAGCACTCAGAGGCTGAGGCAGGAGGACCGCAGATTCAAAGCCAGCTTGAGCTACAACCCAAGACTTCTAACTTGGAAAAGAAAAGAAAGAAACAAGCTCAAGCCCCTATAGTAGTTTACACAATATTCCATGAGTGGTCCTGTTCCTATTCTCTGCTCTCCCCTTGTTCCTTGTGATTTGACCTCAGTAGGCAGGCACCTTGATGTTCAACAAAGTTTCCAGGCATGTTCTTACTTTAGAGTCATTGTACTTATTCCCTCTGCCTGGGATAATCTCCCCCACATAGCCCTTTATCTAGTTACCTCATTCATCTACTTCAAGTTTTTGATCATATGTTACTTTCTCAACAATGCCTATCTTGACCCACTGATTTAAAATTGTCTGTCCTACTTCCATTTTCTGTCTCCCTTATCCAGTTCTATTTTTTTTCTTTCCCCATAACACTTATTTCCTAACAGAGCACATAATACATTAATTTATTATGCCCATTATTTATTATCTGTCTCTCCCTTCCTCAAATATGAGTTTCACAAGGTCAGAGATCCTTGTTTATTTTTTTTTCACTTATGGATCTCAGTGCCTATAATAGATATACAGCAGGTACTCTATAAATGTTTTCTTAATGAATAAATGAATGGACTTATGCCACATCATACAACCAATAAAAGATGACACCTGGATTAGAATCTAAAGCTGTCTGAACCTAAAGACTGTGCATTTTAGATCATTACCCTATATCTTAGTTTATTGAGAAAGATTTATTTAGGGTAGTCATAGCTAGTCTTCTATAGTTACTCTCATGGCTTCAATTACTATATTTAAACAGATATAAGAGAAAGATAGATTCTTGCTAAAGGAAAACAAAGAAGTTCCCCAAGAGTTGAGCAGAAAGGAGTTCTCAGGAGAATTTTCAAGTGTGTGTAGGAGTGACTATAAGAAATAACCCAGCTTGGGCTGGAAGGTAACTCAATTCAATGGTAGAATATTTGCCTCACATGCAAGTAGTGGGGCTTGAACTCAGGGCCTTCACCTTGAGCCACTCCACCAACCCTTTTAGTGACGGATATTTTCGAGATAGGGTCTCTCGAACTATTTTCCCAGACTGACTTTGAACCACGATTCTCCTAATGTCTGCCTCCTGAGTAGCTGGGATTACAGGGTGAGCCACCTGGTGTCTGGTTCTCTTGGCCCTTAAAAGTACATTTTTGGGGGGTAAGGGAGGGGGCAGGGGGAAGGGGGGAGAAATGACCCAAACATTGTATGCACATATGAATAAAATAAAAATGAAAAAAAAAAGTACATTTTTCACTCTCTCAGACTTTTAAGTGAGCAATAAATGCACTGCTTATTTTAATCCACTTAGCATATCTGAGATCAGTGGACATTAAAAACAAAAACTCTGCTGAATTCAAAAGAATAAATTTTAAGTAACTACCAGAAAACAAGAAGGCATACACATGGTCAAGTATTCTGAAGTAATTGCTTCTGATTCCGTTTTAAGAAACAAACAAAAACCAACCCTAGTTCAACTTTACAGATATTTTGTGTGGCTTCCTCCTTTTCATCTTGTCTATTATAAGGAGAGCTCTCATTTTTTCTTCCTGCCATTTGTAAGTAAATGACTCAGTGCTTTTCATGAAGACCAAAATGTTATTTTGTAATTCCACTTAGGCCTTCCTACTGAACTCCACTTTTAGTCCAGCAAGACCTACCTTATCTTAAGCCATTTGCTGTCCTTAGAGATGGCCCTCTGCTATTTCCTAAGGGAAATAACCCTACCCATTCTGCACTTAAAATACTACCTAATCTCCAGCCTTCAGACAAAACAAAACAAATAAACAAAAACCAACGTTGAGGAGCAATATGATTCACAACATGAGCTGTGGAGTCAAGGACATTAGTCTCTAATCATGGTGAATTAGTCTATTTTTTTCATTACCCTTATGAAATAGCTAAGCCTGGGTATTTATAAAGAAAAGAAGTTTGGGTAGGAGGAATTGCTCAAGTGGTAGAGCATCTTTCTAGCAAATACAAGGCCCTGAGTTCAAACCCAAGTACTGAAAAAAAAATTTAGCCAGACCTTGGTGGTTCATGCATGTAATTCTACTTGAGAGACTGAAATCAAGAGGATTGGGGCTCTTCAAGGAAAGCCCAGGCAAATGGTTTGTGAGACCCCCATCTCCAAAATAACCAAAGCAAAATGGACTGGAGGCGTGGCTCAAGTGGTAGAATGCCTGCTTTGCGAGCATGAAGCCCTGAGTTCAGACCCCAGTCCCACCAAAAAAAAAAAGTTTAACTTACAGTTGTGGAGGTTCAAGGGCATTGCACTAGCATCATCAGCTCAGCTCAGCTCTGGTGAAGGCCTTAAGATGGATGGCATCACACTGGTGGAAGTGTTACCAGAACCAGGGAAGAAGTCTCTGAAAGTGAGGAGGCCTCTGTCTGGCCCTTGAATAACAAGTTTGTGATGTCGGAGAAAAAGAATTTTAGGATACATTGAGGTAGAGACCAAGGGAGTTTATTAGGAAAGCAAAGATGGAAAGGAAAAATGGAAACATAGTACATAGTCCAGCCATGGGTGTGGGCTTATCTGATAACAGGTGCGGTGAAGGCTCTAACATCAAGGGTATTTGTGGTAAAAATCTTACTTGATTTTTCATTAATTAATGAGCTAAGTAAAATCTCTGACATTTTGTAGTTGTACCTGAGTCATGATTATAGACCTTTAAATTTTTAATTTTTAATTTAATCCATAACTCTGTAGGAGTGGGGGTTAATTTGTACAAAACTGATAGCAATACAGATGATTCCTGTTAGAAGGTAATGCAAATAAATGATTCCAGACTACAGCAGTGGAGTTGAATGTCACTGTGAAGAGAAGCAACTGATTTCTCTTCAGCAGAAAATTTTAAATGTTACAATCTTTTGCCTGGTACAGTATTAACCAGTTTTGCACATAGCAAATTTATTTCCATTTTCCTCTGATTGCATGAATCTCTGTTTCTCAGATTATCCCTTTTCCTCATTAATTGAGTTGACTAAAATCTTTGAAACATGTTCATTTCATATTTATTGCCAAGAAAGTCAGAGGTTTTTTTTGAAAATCATATTTATCATATGCTAGACCCTTAGACTGTACAAAAATGAGACAATGCTTATTCTTATTAAGTTCAACAGATAAGCTATGACATAAGAGAAATATGTAAATATATTACTATTATGCAAAGTAAGCTGTGTTTCATGAAGTCAGTATAAATGTTATAGAACTTTAAAGAAAGGAGACATTACTCCTGCCTAGGCTGATTAGGAAGAAGCCTTTGAAAAGGCAGAAATTCGGGTATTCCAGATTGAGGTAATAGCATGAACAGAAAAAAAGGATAATAGAAGAGACTGTTTTGTGTGCTAGAAAGAGGGGAAGAATAAGAAGTTAGGTCTAGATACATTGAGTGTGAGGTATCCATGGACATTCATGTAGAGGAAGCCTGAAGCAATTGAATATTTAAAACTTGAATAAAAGCTAGACTAGAATTAGAAATTTGAAGATCACTGTTGATGACAGAAAGAACCTGTTGGTCCTTTGTGCTGTTACTATATCCAGGTTATGGTGACTGATTAGCTGTCATTTATTAAGTATTTTTTGTTTTTTTACAGTACTGGGGCTTAAACTCAGGACCTTCACCTTGAGCCACTCCACCAGCCCAATTTTTTGTGATGGGTTTTTCAAGATAGGGTTTCACAAACTGTTTGCCCAAGCTGGCTTCAAACTGCAATCCTCCTGATCTCTGCCTCCTGAGTAGCTAGGATTACAGGTGTGAGCCACCAGCGCCTGGCTAAGTGTTTTGTTTTGTTTTTTAAGTGCTGGGGTTATTAAGTGTTTTGCTAATTACAAGGTACCAGACTGATCTGTTTATATTATTTTATTTAAACCTTACATGTAAAAGTTATTAAATAAATGTTAGTAAGGGTTAATAATATTTTGTAGGTAGATTCTGTAGACCACATTTAGCTGTACCAACTCTGCAGTGTCTCTGGAGACTCAGACTGATGGGAGCATGTTGCCTGTGACATGAATATGGTATTTATAGAAATAGAGTTTTTTATATACTTCTGTTCCCTTGTCTTCTGTTAGCCCCGAGATGCCTGAAAATGAAGCCACCTTCGCAATAACTGCTGGAGGAATTGGGGATGCCAAGGAGTAGGTGGTGAATTGATGCCAATTGCTTCTCTGTGCTTATTAGAAGCTGAAGACATGGAAAAGCAGTCTGAATTTTAGGTCTTGAAATTAGAGTTTGTTTTTTTCACGTTATTAAAGGAAAGTCAGCAAAAGATATGTAAATCTTATATTTATCTTAAAAGTTCTGATATATATATATTGCATGTCAATTCAAGAACATAACATATATATTCTTGAATTACTGACAATTGATATGTACAAATATGCCCATCAGAAACTACCTGGAGAATGAGTATTTGATTCTCTTAGTTCTGCTTTTCAAAATAAGCCAGTAAGCAAACAGAAAGTCTAGGAGCTCAGAAATGTCCCATTGTCCTCCAGACATCCCCTCCAACATTTTTATGGGGCACAGTACCACTGACTTACAGGAGGATGCTCTTCACAGGAGGAAGGTGTTAGAGGGAGGAATGTTTATAGGATGTCAAAAAAGCTCTTTGTAGTTACACTGTCATCAAACTATATTTTCACCTTCATAGCAACAGAAAAGAAACAGTAAATGAAGTCAAATTTTAAATCATTTGACTTTTTGACAAGATGAAATTACTTTTTGAAAAAGATAATTTTTATTTCTGAACTGGACTTAGTGGTACAGACCTGTAATCCCAGCACTTTGGAGGTTGAGACAGGAAAAATCTCCAGTTTGAGGACAGCCTAGGCTACATAGTAAGACCATCTCAAAAAAAAAGAGAAAAAGATGTATTTATGATATATACATATTCCCTCATGAAGATAAAGAGGAAGGCAATTAGGAAATTTACAATTTTATGCAATACTTATAGCATGATTTTTATATTTTAAGTAAAGAATTTAAATAATTTTAAATATTAAAGTTAGTTTAAATGTAAAATTTCTGAATAGTAATTTTAGAAATGTGTAAAAGGGAATCTTGTTTTTTTCTGATTGTTAAAAATAAAATCTAGTTTTCAAAATGTATGATGAAATGTTTAAAAAATAAAATACTAATATATACAATGACAATCAATCTTCACAGACTTCAAAAAGATTTGATTTTTATGAGTATTAACTTACATGAGAATTCAACTATGGAAAGTACCATTTCCTACAAAAACTATTTGAATTTCCATTAAGTCATTTACTCACTAGTTGTTATCCAGTGCTGAAGAATAAATACGGTTCCTGCCTCAAAGAATGTATGTACTTAGTGAAGAAAAAAATTGTGAAAAGAGAGAGCAAATCATTATATAATTAACTTGTAAGTAGTGCAGTCTTGGATTGACCCTTTCACAAAAAGTCATAGTCCAGACATGAAAGAGGAAAGGCTAAGCAGAGATAGCATGCAGAGGTACAGAAGCTGAGACCTGGAAGCAGAGAGGAGCCCAACCAGACAGGCAGAGGTAGGAAGATGTGAAGAACTTGAGGACAGCCTAGGCTACCTACATGGTGAGATCCCAGTCTCAACAAACAATAACAACAAAAAACGGAGTGACTGAGCTGGGAGAGTGGCTCAAGTGGTAGAGCACCTGCCTAGCAAGCATGAAGCCCTGAGTTCAAACCCTAGTACTGCCAAAAAAAAAACATAAGAAAGAAGGAAAAAGTGGAGTAACTGCATGTTTCTAGCTTTAGTATAACACACGGAAACCAGCCCTGGCTTCAAAGCCAACTACTCACCTTTTGGTAAATTCACCTTAGTCAGGGGTACTCAGCTTAACCCAGAAATGCTTTCTGATTTTCAAATCTTGGAAGCTTTTTTTTTTTTCCCCACCAGTGGGCTTTGGGCTCTTATCTACTTTGGTCCACCCCTCTCCAGGGCTTATGGAACCAGGGGAGCTGCCACTCTGGGGCCAACTTAAGGAGAGTACTATACACTGTGCAGGTATTGCACCAGTAAAAGGTACACTTTAAGCTTTTCCAGGCCAGGGTTCACTTCATCACCTGTGACCAAAGCATCATTCTTCCCTCCCCTCTTGAGTGTAGACAGAAGTCTAGTCCCCTATTCTAAAGGGCATGTTAGGGCTAGGGGAGAGGGCATTCAAAAAAAAGAGTTTATTGGTGAACACTCTTGGTTACAAGCCACAGAAACTCACACTAGTATATTCAAGACATGGAATTCATTGACTAAAGAAACTGAAAAGAGATCTGAGTTCAATCCTCAGTACCAGGGTAGGAAAAAAAAAAAAAGGCAAAAAATCTTGAAAAGCCCAGAGCTGACTTCAGTCTTTGGTGGAGTCAAATCTCAATGCCATGATCAGGACTTGTTCTGCTTGTTTCCTTGCTACTATTCTCAGACAGGCTGAGACAGGTCACACCATGGCCAAGATGCTGCCATCCCAGTAATGCAGAAAAAAACAAACCTTTTCTTCCTAGGTTATTCATAAATGAAGATCTCTTATGAGAACAGACAGGCTATATATTTGAAGTTTGCTATAGCAAAAGAGTTTGCTTTTGGTAGACTCAAAGCCAGGCAGAGGAATGGGAAAGCTTTGTAGTGGAAAAACAAGGGTTTCAGGCATGCTCTAATTGGAGGTTCGTGGCAGGAACAGCTGGAAGATTCATCTGGTAGAGATACAGGAAATAAAAGAGTAACACTGACTTGGGGCAGTTACCATAATTCGGTTATGGTAATACCGAATTCAGAGATGGTAATAGATAGGCCCAGAAGTGGTCTAACTCAGTTGTGGAGATCTCACCTAGCATGATCAAGTGACTGTTTTCTCTAGCCTGGGACAGGGAATTTATTTTTTTTTTTTAAGTACTAGGATTTGAACTAAGCAGGTGCTCTCACTTCAGCCACTCCCCCAGCTCTTTTTTGCTTTAGTTATTTTTCTGGTAGGGTCTTCCATTTTTGTCTGGGGCTGACCTCAGACTGTGTTCTTCCTACTTATGCCTCCTGTGTAGCTGGGATCACAGATGTGTGCCACAATGCCTGGGTTATTCATTGAGATGGGAGTCTTAACTTTTTGCCTCAAACCAAGATCCCCCCGCCCCTCGATCCCTCTGAGTAGCTAGGATTACAGGCACAAGCAATGACATCCAGCCCTGAGAGGGGATTATGATTATCATCAATAGGAATAAAAAGGTGTCAAATGAAGATTGTTGCTTTTACTTGAGAGGACCCATGTATGAGTTTGTTAAGGCTGCCATAACAAAGTACCACAAACTGGGGTGGCAAAGAACAGTCCTGGAGAATTTTTTTTAAATAATAAAAAAGAACCAAGATCAAGGCTGATTCCTCTTGAGGGCTGGGAAGAAGAATGGGTTCCATGCCTTTCCCTAGCTTCTGCTCATTACCTTCCAACCTTGGGCATTTCTCAGCTTGTAGAAGCACCTTGATCTTTGCTTTTGCTTTCCCATGGTGAACATGTCTTTGTGTCTAAGTTTCTCCTTTTTTTTTTGATGGGACTGGGTTTGAACTTCATACTTGACACTTACAAAACTCTACCACTTGAGCCACTCCAGTCCATTTTGCTCTGGCTGTTTTGGAGATGGGGATTTCACAAACTATTTGCCTGGGCTGGCCCTGGACCTTGATCCTCTGGATCGTAGCCTCTCAAGTAGCTATGGTTATGGGCATGAGTCACCAGCACCTGGCCAAATTTCTTTTTATAATGACACCCCACATATTCTGTAGGGGTCCACCCTACTTCCATATGATTTCATCTTAACTAAGTACATCTGCAATAACCCTACTTCCAAATAAGGTCACATCCTGAGGTTTAGGGGTAAGGACTTCAACATGAATTTTGGAAAGATCTAATTAAACCCCAAATAGTAAAAATCATATACTGTGAGGATCAAACACCAGGATGCACAAGACACAATGCGAACTCCATACTAGCAGGGAGTCAAGTGTGGTGGTACATATCTATAATCCTAGCACTCAGAGGGATGAGGCAGGGGGATGCTGAGTTCAAGGCCAGCCTGGGCTATGTAATGAGTCCGAGACCCTTTCTCAAAAAAGCAAAAAATACTGGCTGAAGTCAGAAAAAATGGAAGTTAAGATCTGGGGAAAACATAACGCCTTTATTTAGAAGGTGAAGAAGTTGCAGTAGATTATTTCTACCATCCCTTTTTAATTTCCCTTTTTTTTTTTTTGTGGTGTTGCAGATGGAACCCAGGGCCTTACACAAGCCTAGGGAAGTGTTCAACCACTGAGGTACACCCAGCCCTCAATCACGCTTTAAAGACAAAGAAAGTCAAGAAATCAGAATAAAAATAGTGAGGATCATAGATGAGACCCAGATTAGAAGATACAAAGGAGGAGGAGGAGGAGGAGAGGAGGAGGAGGAGGAGGGGAGGAGGTGGGCAGAAAGAAGGAAGGAAAGAAAAAAAAGGAAGTTAAGCAGTCTGGAGATGGTATGGTGGTTCTACTTTTTCATCAGGACCTCATGCTTCTTTCTGCTTGAACATCTTAGCTCTTGACCTCCCTCTTTAAGGTCATGGCCTAAGATGGCAGCTGGAACTCTAGCCAGAGAATCCAAGTTAGGAAAAGAAAGACAAAAGGCAGAAGGGCAAAATAAAGTTGCTCCCAGCTGAGTCAGCTCCTGGGGAGCATCCCTCCTACACAGCACTGTGCTACATCTCATTGGCCATATTTATCTGCAAAGAGGCAGGAAAATAGTCTTTTGTTCCAGACAGCAATAAACCCAACTAAAATGTGAAGTTCTGTTAGTGAGAAGGAGAGAATGGTTGTTGGGTAAGCAGCAGTCTATACCACAAAATCTTATTCCCTCATCTTTTATAAGAGTATTGAATGCCTGTTATGTACTATGTAAGGCATTTCAGATTTTTACTTGTCCCAGAAGAGGTGGTTGGTGGATGTATCACTTAGAATGTCTTCGGCTACCGGTAACAACAACAACGACTCAAAGTAGCCTGAACAATGAGGAAATATCATGTCAAGAAAGGCCAGAGGTGAGCCAGCTCCATGTTTGGTTGATTGAATGGCTCTATGTCATTAAAGGAGCACAGTGTCCTTCTACTTTTCCATCCTCACTGTGCTGGTTTTATCCTTTAGAGTCTTCTCTCACATGGCTAACAGAGTGGCTCAAATGGTAAAGCACCTGCCTAGGGAGCGTGAGGCCCTGAGTTCAAATCCCAGTACTGCCAAAAAAAAAAAAGTCTTCCCTCATGGTCAAAAGATGGCTACAGCAGTCTCACCTTCACATGCAGAGATGATGGCACTCATACC